AGAGGGTTGATCTGTAGGGTGAGAGGTTGATGGGGGGTTGAAAATGTTTATGTAAAGAATAGACATTCGGAAATAGAACTCAAACTGTCCGAGGATATTTCTAAATATATTTTTGTTATACAGGGTGTTTCAAAAAACCTAACTCCCTTGCTAGGGTAGGTAGAACATTGGAAAATAAGTTGGGTTTGCCCAGTAAAAAAATGTCGTAACGCCATCCGTTTTCAATATACAAGGTGTTGAAACAATATTTTTTTACACATTTTTTACGATTATGGTGAAACTACTGGCACCATTGTGATGAAATTATGTATGGATGTTTCTTGGAATTTGACACATCGCATGCATTTGTTTTTATATCAGACTCTCATAAAGGGCGCTAGTTACAAGGTTCGTACCGAGTAGTTTTGAACATAACTTTTTTGAGGTTAGATTTTTCAATCCAAATTGATTTTTGGTATGAACTTGAACATCATTCAATTTCACACTAATAAGGTACTCTTGGTAAAAGTCGATACTGTGTTCCGTTTCCGGAATATATCGATTTGAAACTGATGAAGTGGTAACTGTTGCTGGTATAAAGCTATGTATTAAAGTGAGTATTATGAAAAATTATCATCTATTTATTGAAAGCCGAAAATAACAATACATTTCTGATGCAAAACTCATTGAATTAACAATAAATCACAAGAATAACATCGAAACAGATTTGACTAAGAACATGGACTACACAGTTTTGTTGTATCTTGAGCAGAAAGTCTATGCTACTTAAATGGCCTTAACAGCTGATCCTCAACTGTTCAGAAGGATAATACATTCTTGAAAAAAGAATATAGAATCGTGTATTTCTCGAAACGTAGGACATTTTGAACAATTACTCTAACTGATTCAATATTTCATGTTTCTAGTCGAATATCTCTTAATTTTCTACTCATGATTCTTTGTTCCATCAATAACTTCAGCACAAGAATAATTTCATTGTTTTTGAACCTGAATAAATAGGTAATTGAACTCAATAAAATTCAGTTTATACCAGCATCATTACTACTCCATTATTTTCAAATCGAAATATTCCGAAAACGGAACATAGTATCGAGTATCACCAGGAGAACCTTTTTGGTGTAAAATGGAATGATGTTCAAGTTGATATCATATTTGGATTGAAAAATCTAACCCCAAAAAAGTTATGTTCAAAACTACTCGGTACGAACCGTGTAACTAGCGTCCTATATGAGAGTCAGATATAAAAACAAATTCATGCAATGTGTCAGATTTCAAGAAACATCCATACAAAATTTTATTACAATATTGCCAGTAGTTTTGGAATAATCGTGAAAAATGTGTAAAAAAATAATTCTTTCAACACCTTGTATCATGAAAACAATTTTTCACTGAGCAAACCCAACTTATTATGCAATGTTCTACCTACCCTAGCAAGGGGGTTAGATTTTTTTGAAACACCCTGTAGAGATACAGATTTTATTCCATCATAAGTTTCCACATTGTATAAAATAAAACTAGAAACGCACGACTCAGTTTTGATATATTTTGAAGTAAAATACAATAATTTCTTCCAGCTTTATGCTATGACTTGGTCCACAATCAATAATTGTTTTCTCTATAATTCTATTCATATGTATATAACTCGCTATCCATATATTATATTTCTGATGGTACACCTAGAAACACAGTGACGAAAATGCGCAGAAAAATGTTTAGATCAACAGAAGCTAAAAAAAACCAAATATATTTAGACTTTTCTGTTCAAGTAAATGGTGATATTAATTACAGTATCAGCATTCTTACAGTTCCTACTTTTTCTGTGGCCTCAAAAAACTGAGTTATTTATTATTTATGTCCACATTATTCTGGATTTCAATTCCTCTGTTACGCCACTGTGTCCTCAGGTATAATCTACATACTACTTTGTTTTACATCTATCATAAGATATGCAACTCAGTCAGTCATAGTAAAGGGTGTGGAAAAATAAATGTTTTTGCAAGGTAATGAATTTTTGTTTATCATTCCCAATTCGTTATAGAAAATATCCAAACGTATTAAAATATCACACCGAAAGCTTTAGGCTAAGGACGTTATTGAAATGGCAATAGAATCTTTAAGTACAGTATACAGTTACAGTGTGTGTCCTGTATGTAGTTTTAGAAGCTTCCACGTTTCTCAGTCATTTCGGAAATCTTTGAAAATTAGAAGTTAGAAAATTTCCGTTTGGCACACAAACATAAAACAAATCAATTGTCAAAACATATTGTGCTCTGAATATTTTATGCATCATAAGCAAAATCACTAGATTTGGGGAAGTTTCTAAAAAAAATGTGGACACTGTATACAGGGTGGCCCACGGTCGATGATACCTTAGACGTATACGGAAAACGGTACGTTGGATTATCCTGAAAGTTTGGTTACTCTAATAAGCGTTTGTGATCTAACGATTCAAAATATTTTCAGCGATGCAGCGTTGCCACTTTTACCAAAAAGTAGCATCATCTTTGTTATTTCGAATGGAACACCCTGTATTTCATTGCGTTCTTAGATTCTTCTCGAAGAGCTGATTTCATCAATGTATCACACTTGGGGTCTAGTAGGAATTATTACAGAGATATAGGGTGTTCAAAATCGAGATTTTTCAATTTCAGGAATTTTTTGTGTCGAAACTATTCATGATCGATCAAAACGGCTTACATGTCCCTATCTCAACTTTTGATTTACTATCTACTGACATTTAATTAGAACAGATACAGGGTGATCAAAATTCTGAATCTTGGACCATCCTGTATTTTTTCCAATTAAATGTCGGTAGATAGTTAATCGAAGGTGATATAGGGACATGTAAACCGTTTTGACCAATGATGAATAGTTTCGACACAAAAAAATCCTAAAGTTGAAAAATCTCGATTCTGAACACCCTATATCTCTGTTATAATTCCTGCTAGACCCCAAGTGTGATGCATTGATGGAATCAGCTCTTCGAGAAGAATCTGAAAACGCAATAAAATGTTGTGTTCCATTTGAAAAATATCAAAGATGATGCTACTTTTTGGTAAAAGTGACAACGCTGCTTCGCTGAAAATATTTTGAATCGTTAGATCACAAACGCTCATTAGAGTAACCAAATTTTCAGGACAATCCAATGTATATACCGTTTTCCGTATACGTCTAAGGTACCATCGACCGTGGGCCACCCTGTATATAGGAGCTAGCTGAATTCCATCTCACCTTATTGGGGCAAACTTCCTCTGAATATACTTAGATTTTTGAGATTTCTTTCCAAAAATTCTGATCCTGAAGGTCTATTCTGGAAAAATATCATCATCATTTGGTTTTGTAATTTTTTGTATATTATTTTGCATAATCATCTAACTTTATATTTGAAATATTCAAAATTCCAGTAAATCTATAATCAATTTTATCATCAATTTTTATCATTCTGATCATATTTATGTATGTTCATAATTATCACCAGACAGAACGTCGTTTTCAAAATATGTTCAACAGTTTTTAAGCTTAGAGGTTTTCAAGACTCCAATGACATACATGATCGAATTCATCTCACCCTGTATAGTCTATAGAAAACGATGCATTATTGGCTGAATGAGGACTTACATAGTGAATTTTTAAGTGCCTTAAACTTTCAAAACCAGTTATACAGTGCACAAAGCACCACCTTTTTGTCAATTTGCAATTATTGTAATTTATATTGCAGAAAACAGCCATCAAAATCGGCAAATATTCGATATTGTTGTTCAAAAGGTGTATTTGTAAGAGCTGCGTCATGACTATTTTATCTTTGGGAGTGCACGAAAGGGATTCCCTATTGTTCGTGTTGGTACAGGGTGATTCACCATAAATGTCCAGCCTCTAGCTCAGTTATTTTTAAACCGATTTCAAAATTTGAAATATCATCTTGAATGATTATTGATTGAGTTTTTTTCCGCTACATCAGAAAATACAGGGTGCTCAGAACAAACGATCTACAGGGTACCATTTGATTTTTTTATATGGAACACCCTATTTTTCATTGTATTTTTAGATTCTCCCTGAAAAGCTGATTTGCTCAATGTATCTCACTTGGGGTCTATCGGGAATGATTACAGAGATATAGGGTGTTCAAAATCGAGATTTTTCAACTTTAGGATTTTTTTGAGACGAAACTATTCATCGTCGGTCAAAACGGCTTTCATGTCCATATCTCAACTTTTGATTTACTATCTACTGACATTTAATAATTGGAACAGATACAGGGTGATCAGAATTCTGAATCTTGAACCACCCTGTAAATGTTCCAATCAAATCTCAATAGAAAGTTAATCAAAAATTAAGATGGAAACATAGGAGCCGTTTCGACCAATAATGAATAGTTTCGTCTCAAAAAAATCCTAAACTTGAAAAATCTCGATTTTGAACACCCTATATCTCTGTTATCATTCCCGCTAGACCCCAAGTGTGATGCATTGATGAAATCAGCTCTTCAGGAAGAATCTAAAAATACAATGAAAACAGGGTGTTCCATTTGGAAAAATCGAGTAGTACTCTGTAGATCATTTGTTCCGAGCACCCTGTATTTCCTGATGAAACGGGAAAAAAAATCTGAGAAATCATTTTAGATCATCCTTCAAATTTTTAAATCGGGTCAAAAATAGGTGAGCTAGAGGGGGGGACAATTATGGTGAATCACCCTGTACATAAAACATTTCGTCTCGCATTTCGTTGGCTCTCCTACTATAATACATTCAATATTAAGTACAGTTGTGTGCATAAATAAGAGTACAGCAGTTATACAGGGTGAATCATTAGTGCGTCGGAGCTCGATTGGTCGAGTTTTATAAACTTGATTCAGAAACGAATGTGAATGAGACAACAAGGTTCGTAACTGGAAATTATTGCCGCATATACAGTGGGCATCGGAAAAAATCTAGAGGGTCAGGATCAGTTTTTTAAATGGAATGCCCTATATATTAGCACATTTTTTGAAGCATTTCTATGACCTCCATCCACTCCTATAATATTGTTGACTATTTCTCGACCATTTCATTCCACATTCTTATCTGTTATTGAAACATCTAAAGTCCAATCAATTAATCAGTAAACCAGTTTTTTAATGAAATGATTCAAACCGAAATTGAAGCAAACATCAAAAATAATTCATATGCTAGTAATTTACAAAGTAAAAAAAAATCCATTTTCAAAATATCCCATAAATTCATAGAACATCAAGAACAAAATCAGAATAGTAATTCACAATTATGCAAAATGGGATTTTTTTCTTTTTCACTTTTTCAATATCTAGCATATGCACTATTTCTATTTGCGTTGATTCTGGTATCAATTCAATGAAAAAACAAGTCCACTAATTAATTAATTGTACTTTTGATGTTTTAATAACAGATGAGAATGTGTATCGATGAAAATTGTTAGAGACAAAATTTAATTCTTCTGAACTGAAAATTTTCTGGAAAAATTATGAATAGTCACTGAATTGGGCGTCCTGATTCCGAATTCGAAGTGATTTTCAACCTATTTTGACTCCTAATATCATTTTCCGGAAATAGGGGTGGTTCCATGGCTGTTGGCGAGCAGTGTATATCACTGAAGATGACCCCACTTGGCCATAGAGTGCATTTTTGGTATATCTCTCGCTCCAGCAAATTTCAGGATCCTTACCCAACGATTACGTAAGATACAGGGGTATTTCCATTGGAAGTGGGTCACACTGTATATAGGCATGTTTACACCATACAAACGACTTGTTTATGCACACAACTCTACACACATATTTACTCCCTAGAAAAAAACTCCATTCCTTTGCCCCCTTTCGATATGTCAACCCCCACCCTCTCAAGGCATCCCCTTGGGGCCCGGGTCCTCGGGACTGGGGCTGTCCGTCCTCCGTGACCTCACCCTCACCACCTGCCTGTGCTCGCCGTCGTCGTTGTCGGGGCTGAAACTGCCCCCCGCCCCGTACTGCAGTCCGTGTCCCGAGCCGGCTAGCCGTACCTTCTCCGAGCTGCCCTCGTCGGTGGTGGTGAACAGCAGGCCGAGGTTGAGTTGCGGGATGTCGTAGAATACTGCTAGGGTCAGCATCATGAAGGTGATGCCGAGAAACAGGTAACCTGCGGGAAAAATTGGACCTGATGGGTACACGTACGTTTTTTCAACGTTTTATTAACGTTCTACTCGTTCGAAAACCGGGCCTGGCTGTAAAGGACAACGTTTGAATGCAGTTTGAGTTTCCAATGTTAAATTTGATCGTAAAGCCGTATAAAAAACGAAATTATCATGTGTTGACATGATATACAGAGTTTTTTTTTTATCGCTTGGAGCGCACGAAAGGGAATCCCTATAATGTTCAAAGAACATCGTGCGTTCCTTGGGAGGATAGGGACAGGAGGTAGGTATTGGAATTTCTTTTGAACTGTTGGAGATTATATGTTGTTGGGAATACTTCCACAGGCAATGAATTCCAGAGCCTAGCCGTTCTATGGATGAAGGAGTCTTGATAAAGTGCTGTTCGACATCTTTCGAGGTTGACAACGAAAGAATGTGCTGACTGGGCTTGTCTAGTTCGTCTGATTGGTATTGCTAGTGAAGGGATGATAGCAGAGATTTCCGAAGAACATTTCCCGTGGAAGTATCGATAGAAAAGTGAAAGGTCACCGACCTTTCTACGATGTTCCAATGATGTCAAAGAGTGAGTGAGTGTGGCGTCAGCCACCAGGCGAATGGCTCTTCTCTGGATGGAATCTAAGAGCATCAGTGTATGTTTTGGTGCTGAACCCCATATGTGGGAACAGTATTCTAGAACAGGCCGTATCTGCGCTTTGTAGATCATGAGAAGCTGTTGAGGTGTAAAGTAGCTTTTCGCACGGAACAAGAATCCGAGTTTTTGTGAAGCAGCTTTTGCGATGGATCTGACATGATTATCCCATGAAAGAGTGTTGCTGATGGAGATACCGAGCATAGATATGGTGGGCTTGGTGGGGATGGTGGAGCCAGACATTACAATATCGGGCATACTGAGTGTCCGGAAAGGTTATATCGTGAATGATAGGGCTGATAGGGTGAGCCAAAATAATGTTAGTACTTCATATTTAGAAAATATCTAACTATCTGATAGCAAATGTGAACGCCTTAGACAGCTTGGATACTTAGCCCTATCCCAATGAGTACACGTACGCTTTTTCAACGTTTTATTAACGTTGTAATCGTTCAAAAGACGTTTCTGTCTGTGAAGGACAACGTTGAAATGGAGCTGAAAATTTAAACGTTTGATCTAATCGTTTATAACTTTTGATTATTGATCACGTTTCACGTTATTATTGATACGTTTATACCATTTTTAATGAAAATCAAATAATGCTTTAGAATAGTCGTTTCTTTCACGTTATTTCATAGCTCTTTTGTATTTGTTGGTGAGAATGAAACAATAAATATACTTTCCACGATGGCGTTTTTCGAACGACGTCATGTGACACGTATAATACACATTGCCATTCAAATGTTTTTCATCGAATCTGACGAAAAGCTAATGTTAATTCGGTACGTGTATCGCATTCTTGGAATAAACATACCGTTGACGCTTTTCTGTGAATATTTTAAAACCGTTGGTGAAAAGACAACGTAATATATATGTTTCTTGATGATTTTCATTTGTCATCATTTATTTGAAACAATGATCAAACTCTTCAGGAAAACGTTTCTCCACAGTATTCCGTGCATTATTATTCACTTTCGATGAACTTGAACATTAAAATCAGGTAATAACCTTCCAATTTTTCTGAATTGTATTCGACAAGTTCCTGTTGACTATGTTGTTATTGGTTTAGTAAGCACAGTTAGTTAGTCGTTGAGTTAACAGAAAGGATTACAAAACCGTTTACATATTCAAAACTTCACTTCAGTCCTTTTGTATAAAATTGGTGAATTTAATTTCTGTTCAGATAGAGACCGAAGTGGATACTTTAGTAGCGACAGTGCAAAAAAAACAATGGTTCTGTTCCGACGGTTGATGGTTTTATCGTATGATCGATAAAACCATGATCCAAATCTTGGCATTGAACTCACATGTAGTTGCTATTTTGTAAACCGGACGGTAAGGCTGGTTCGCTGCATCGCCCGGTATATAATCACCAAGGCCAATGGTCGTGAGAGATATGAAGCAGTAGTAGAGAGAGTCCAGGTAGTCCCAATCAGGCTCGATCAAGGCAAAAGCTCCAGCTGGTAGAAGGATGAAGAGTCCAATCAGCGTCATCACTGAAAAAAAATGCGTATTATTCTTTTATCTTTAATCGCACGAAAGAAAATCACTATTATGTACGGAAATGATAACTTATTGGTGTAAGGTAGATCAAGTGCTTATCCAATGTTTCTGAATATAAACTACACATAATATCTCACTGCAGGACATTTTTCAATATGGAGGTCCTAATAATGCACGTCTCTAGGACGTCCCCCTGTTGGTATTTTCTGCATACAAATGACTTCTCAGATACATCCCAATGATATCCTCCTGAGACGACCTGAAGACGTCTCAAGAACTTTCTGAGGAAGTTCTAAATGATGTACAGTGTGTCCCGTTCTCGATGCTAAAATATTGTTATACCGATGAATTAATCTGCTGATATTAAGTGACTACAAACACTCAAATATCTCACAAACGCTTATAATTTTTTTTTTATTTTGATAGGAGTACCGTTCTCATGTTATTTTTTTCGCTCTATCAAATGCTTCTATTTTTAAACCATGAAGAATACGAGACGGAAAGTTGTCTTCAAAAAACCATGACCCGCCTACTAAAACCACCCTTTATAACAATATCAGAAATGTAGAAGTGTATCAAAAAAATGTATTTCATCAACAGACCTCTATACTTATTTATTAATGTACAATCACGTCCAGAAAGCTCGGTACACATTTTTGACTCACCCTGTATAACATTCCAATTCTGAATAATCAAATCATGCCAAATATTTTTTAATCAAATTTTCCTGACCAGGTATTGTTTAAGATTGACTTTAAATATGGATTCATGCAACATCAACTAAATTATAATCAATTTATGATTTAAATGAATTTTGAATTAAAAATATGGTGTTCATGCAATAACCTCTCAAGTTCCAAGCTCATCAAGATCAGATTTCATACAAATATACTTCTCCTATACATTTCAATTTTCATTTCAATACTGAACATATTGGTAATAACTATTGACTGTATTGAATTCATTGAAAGCTGATTTTGGATGTATGATAAATTGACATTGACATCATACAGGACGTGGAAAAAAATTCTGTATTGAGGTCTACAAAAATAATAAGTTTCCATCGTTCAAGTTTGAACCCCTTGATTGGGTGAAAGTATTGAAGAGGAATATTCTCAGATATATTCATGAACACAAAAAAATGGTTATATAAATAAAGAAATACATTGAGAATTCGCATTCTCCATGTAATAAAAATATTAATTCCTTCTCGGTTTATTCAACAGAAAACAACCACTTTCCTGGCTATATGCCACGACGAAAATTGATATACATCAATGAACACACGATTAGAATTCGAAAACAAAATTTTCTGAAGTAGACAATTTGCATTCTCCTTTATATAAAGATGTGCATATTATATATCATTCTGAATATCCAACAGAAAACAACTACTTTCCTAGCTATTTGCCAGGTCGAACATTGAATTATATCTGTTGAATATCCAAGAAGAGAGCATGAAAAACCAGAATCCTCTGAAATTGAGAATTATTATTATTATTATCTCTCAAATCAGGAGTATCTCAACAAATCATAATAATTCTTAGATGTCAGTTCATTATAGTTTCAATTATATTATAGGGAGATGAAAAGTGTGTATATCATGAAGAATGGCTGAAAGAAAAACTGGACTTCAGGTTACTGCTGAGGATATAAAATCCGAAATGAGTTTTACTCGAGTTGAGTCATATAACCTTTGTGAGAGATATAATTCCCATATCACTGATACGAATGATTTTTTTGGAAGTTCCAAGCTCATCAAGATCAGAGTTCATAAAAGTGTACTTCTCCTATACATCTCAATTTTTATTTCAATACTGAATATATTGGTTATATTTTTATATCATAATACATCATATTATTCTATTCGATTTGAGAGATATTGACAATTCTCAATTTCAGAGGATTCCGATTTTTCATGCTCTCTTTTTGGATATTGAACAGATATAATTCAATGTTCGACGTGGCATTCAGAATGATTTATATGCATAATATCTTTATATTAAGGAGAATGCAAATTGTCTACTTCAGAAGATTTCGTTTTCGAATTCTTATCGTGTGTGTTCAATAGATGTAACTCAATATTCGTCGTGGCATATAGCCAGGAAAGTAGTTGTTTCCTGTTGAATAAACCGAGTAAGAATTAATATTTTCATCACATGGAGAATGCGAATTCTCAATGTATTTCTTTATTTATATATCCATTTTTTTTGTGTTCATACATATATCTGAGAATATTCCTTTTCAATATTAAAAGCTGAGTTTGATATTTTAATCAATGTATTCCTGACAAAATGCATAAAACTATAAAGTGGATTGCGGTTCATGAGATGTGTAGAAAACTTCGAGCTATCATTTCCTTCGAATGCCGATTTGTGCTCACCCATTATTATCAGATGGAATATGCGTATGTTGAAGGGTTGGTAGAGGTGTCCCAGCCTGGAGTTCAGCCATTGCAGCAACCATATGGTGGGTACCAACAGCCTCTCCACCAACGCGGAAAGGAGCACCAGAGTCAAAGGAATACCCACCATCGCGTACAGAATGCAAAAAACCTTTCCGCTGCGGCTGAGCGGCGTCACGTGACCATACCCTGATTAGAAAACGGTAGGGAAATGAGTCGAGAGAAGAATGAAAGTGTTCAGGAATACAGGGTGTCCGGAAATTATGCGCAAAAAATCAAGAGGGTGATTCTACATGATGAAATAAGAAATTGTTTTTATATGTACGTGGGTCCGGAAATGCATAGTTTCCAACAAACAGTGTGTTGAAACTTTTTGAAAAAATCGTTTTTTTTTTATGAATATCTTAAATGTCCTTCTACCGATTGTCTTGAAATCAGGCAATGCTATTTTTCGTCATGAGGGGCTGATATAGTCATAATTCAATTGGAAATATGAAATCCAGTGGCGTCCCGGGAGGCAACCTACCGAATATTATTGTCAATAAAATGTGCGCCACTGATTTTTTTAAATTCTGTATCTTCAAAACCTTCTGGCCGACTAAAAATACAACATTTTGATATCCTGAATTATTCTGATAATCTGCTCCATTTCCATGGAAAAAAATAATTACCAATTTATTGCATGAATTTGTGTCAAAAAAATCCTTCAAAAACTTGGGTGAAAATAAATACGTGATCAATGTCCATAGACATAGAATAAGTATGAAGATTCATTTTCTACAAATATTTCTTGATACAATGATACATGTTTGACACACTCTATATACAATTATACACTCTGTATATTGAGAACTATATGTATTCTTGGTCTAGGAAGACGTAGTTTTCGATAATACAAAGTGTGTCAAACAAGTATTATAAAATATTTGAAGAAAATGAATCTTAATTCTTATTTTACGTCTATGGACATGGATAACACATTCAATTTCACTCCTGTTTTTGAAGCAATGTTTTGCACAAATTCATACAATGAATTGGTATTTATTTTTTTCCACGGGAACGCAGCAAAATTGCAAAACAATTCGGGAGACTGAAAATGTTGTATTTTTAGTTAATGATTAGAATATGAAGATATAGAATTTTGAAAAATCAGTGGCGCCTATAATATTCGGTAGGGCGCCCCTCGGACGCCACTGGATTCCACAATTCCAATTAAAAAATTACTAAATCAGCCCCCCATGACAAAAAATATCATTGCCAAATTTCAAGGGAATCGGTGGAAGGATATTCGAGATATTCATAAAAAACCGTTTTTTTTTCTAAAAAGTTTAACACACTGTATCTTGAAAACTATGCATTTTCGGATCTAAGTATATATAGAATAAATTTCATGTTTTCTCATGCAGAATCACCCTCTTGATTTTTTGCGCATAATTTTTGGACACCCTGTATGCAGGGTCTCAACTTTTGAGATACACGGTGATGAAGCTTTGAAAAAAAATCAGTTTTTTAATAATAACTGGGATAAAATTGTAGACATTTTTATGAAATTTGGTACATATGTTCTATGCATCAAGATGCATTTTTTGATGTATACGAATTATCCTTTTTCCAACCAGTGGCGCCGTTAGGGGGATATGATGATTATATTATACTTGAAAGTGGGCAACGAAGGAATATTTCCAAATCTGATAAAATTCTATAAGAAGTCATTCAATTTTGTACGAAAAAGATCCTCTTGTTGATACCCGATAGGACGCTCCGTTTTCAAGAAAAAATAAAGAAACGAGATCAAACTTCGAATTTTGATGTAAATGCTAGGCTCGAGTACTCCATTCACATCCATTACTGGATAACCACAGTATGTTACAATTTGAAATTTTCGCACCGTTTCAGTCACATAGCCGAATGAATTTTTCCATCAGGAGAAGCTATACAGGGTGGACAAAAAAGAATCTATGTATATGTTCAACTTTGATACCCTGTATCTCAAAAGTTAGGAATTTTAGCATGTCATCAAGGAACGCCCTGTGTACCTAAGCATGTTCACTATATTATTCACTTTTCACACATTTTTTTCATTTGGTCATAGATTACCAAAATAAATGTGTTATTTTCTCTGGTAGGAGATCATCTATTTATTTCTTTGAGATAACGAGCCCTGTGAAATTGGCCAACGCCCTGAATTTAACAGATTGAATGTATTTTCCAACAAGATGGTGCCGCTTGCCATACGAGTATTTTTTTAATGCCCATTATAACTTTATACGATTGCATTTAGGTTGAGTGGAAAGTCATAAAACAATCAGAATCAGAATCAGAATCAGAATCAGAATATTCTTTATTGTCAGAAGAAAAAGCTCTTGTAGACAAAGAGAAGATAAAACATAAGTACGTAACATACAATAATAAAAATTTAAAACAATGTAAAAGATAAAATATGGCATGAGAAGGATCATCATGTGGTATAACGATTCACATTTCTAAGATGAAAACTAAAACACATCACTATAATATTCCTTTGATTCATAGTAAGCCTTTTCAGCAAATAGCTGTTTGAGACTCTTCCTGAATATTTTATGATCTTCAATGTCCTTTACGTAGGTAGGTAGGCGGTTATACATCTTCAGTCCATTATATATAACCGAGTCTTTGATCAGGGTAGTCGATGGTGAAGGTAATTTCAGATGATTTTGTTGCCGAGTTATATGTTCTGTTGAATTATTTTTTAATTTTGTTTTATTTTTATGAATGAGGCTGACTGATTCTACAATGAAAAGTGAAGTGAGAGTAAGAATACCTTGACGTGCAAACAAAGGCCGACAAGATTCTCTAAATTTTGCTTTACACAGGTACCTAACGGCTCTTTTCTGTAGAGTGAAAATTACTTTAAAAAGTGTTTTTCTACAGACTCCCCAGAAGGCAATGCCATAGCTTAGATGGGATTCTATAAGGGCATAATAAGCTGACTTGGTAGCAGTATATCCCAAATTGTTGGAAATGATTCGCATGGCATAGCATCCCGAAGCCAACTTTTTACTAAGACTTGAGATGTGATTATCGAATTTCAATGTGGCATCAATCTGTAGTCCAAGAAATTTTGTATTCTCTTTACTCTCTATGGTATTATTGCCTAGTAGCAGTGCAGGCAGATTGCAACGGAGGCATAGTATATTTGTTTTAGAGATATTTAATGATAGTAAATTTGAATCAAACCATTCTTTAATGCAGTCAACATCTCTAGAAATGGTTTGAAATAGTTTAGCCTCATTCTTGTCATGCCATGGAATGGTAGTATCGTCGGCAAATAAAGTGAAACTACCTGATATATTCAAATTGGCGATGTCATTGATGTATAATAAGAAAAGCACAGGTCCAAGTACCGAACCTTGAGGTACACCACAGCTAATGGAATGAAGTTGCGAGTAATGGTTTGTTTTGACAATCTGATAATGATTTGATAGGTATGACTCAAACCATTTCAAAGTAGTACCTCTGAAGCCATATGCTTTCAGCTTTTGCAAGAGTATTCTGTGATTCACGCAGTCGAATGCCTTCGACAAATCACAAAACATGTTTCATTTGCATAATCGATTTGGTAGGAATAATAATGGTGAAATGGAAATGATAGATGTGAATGAAATATTGTATGTTCGATCAATGAAATATTTAGAATACCCACCAATAGTTGTCACCACTGTACTAGCGAAAAACAGGGATTGTCCAAAACTCCAATTTGGTGTTCCAGTAGCATTTCCTATAGCAGAAACCCCTCTGTTATTTGCTTTCACTATCTCCTTTATCAAATCTTCCAAATCCTGATCTGTAACAATAAAAAAAATTACCAACCATTCAATATTGGTAATTAATAAAGACATTGTTCATAATCACTTCAGAAGCTGATAAATGTTACGGACCTACTGAATTGCAGAAATTCGCATAAGGACAGGTTTTTTTCCTATACAAGCCTGCGTGATTCACCCTATATCCGCACGCCATTTAGTTTGGGAAGTGTCATTTTCCCGAAGTAGTGCGGGAATAGCTATTTGTGTATTTAGAGCGCAAAGTGATAGATTGTTGCTCGCGATGCGGAGCGGTGCGCGGTAATCTTTGGAGAGCGGCAATAACACTTTGTGCTCGAAATACACACAAGATTTTTTTCTACTAACGCAGCTTTTGGAAATAACTGCCCTGAAAGTATGAGCGATTGAAATAGTTGAAAAAGTTCTTATCCATATTATCCCATATGTTCAAAGGAAACAAAAAGAGAAAAATTGAAATAACTGACAAGCCAGAAAAAAAATGTCGGGCCTACCGAGAGTTGAAACTGGACCACCAGCGTGGCAACCTGAGTTTCAGATCTCTGAACCATAGTACGATAAACTCTGTAATCAAATTGAACATTACTCATTGATGCAATAAAATTAAGATACACTGTCTGCCATTATTGTGCCAATGATACCATACTGGGGAGAGATTGCTTAAAAAGTGATGGGTGGGTTATGTCTCGTGTATTAATATTTGCTGGGATGGAATTTTTCAGTCTAGAATTTTGGGTGCTTGTATATAATGTGTTTCCATAACCCATAACGTTGGAAAACACATAATCATGAAATAATCCACATGATTTTGTATTTTGATAACTTTTGACCTCACTTTTAGACTTAGATTAGTGGCCTTATCTGCGAGCGATAAGGCTTTCAAGAGGGTTCTTGTACTGTATTTTTGTTGAAGTCTCTGATCAACATAAATTTTAATCTATGAATTCGTGCCTTGTTTATAATTCCTAATCTTAACAGATCTCATTTTCATAATACAGAATGAAAATTTGTTTTTACTTAAGGCCAAAGCTAAGTGGGTGGTATTGATTATGTGATTATATTATTTGATTATATACAAGGTGTTTTTGCAATAAGTGCATATATTCAGCACAATGATATGATACAGTCTGAGGAATATTCCCATGATATCAGATTTTTCCTAAATCTCCTAACGAGAAATGTAATCCTCAAAATTCAACAAGATACGAAAAAAAATCAAGTACGCCACTTTGAAACAATTCAAATGATTGAACTCCACGTGATTGTGCCTACCGCTTAGAAATTCGAACAGAGGTGACGTCAGATTTGCTACAGTGTAGAACTTTGGGTGGAAAAGGGGGTCCAACCTCAAATTTTAATTCTGATTAGTGCCATTCGATAGTACACATCGAGCTTTATCAGTGTTTGAAAAATTTTCACTTATTTCATTGCCACCCTGTATATGTGTGTGGTTATGTTGATGAATTTCATCACGAAAATGAGGATTTGAGGATTGACATCTACCTTTTATAATAATTAAACTTTCCTCTCTAGGTATATACCTACTAGCACGATGGTAAACGAGCATAAAACGGATTTCCTTTTGTACGATCCAACAGATGAAAATCTATGTGACAATTTCTTTTGAGGTTATGATGCATTGTATATGTACTCCTTACAGGTTAATTATTTCGATCAAACGTTATTCATAATTGCTATGTTTCAACAAACTGAAAAAATATTCAAAATTGATAATTTAAAAAAAAATTAGCTATAGGTACAGTAAATACCAGCAATTGAAATAATGAAGGAATAATATAAGTTCCAAAATATTGAGTCATATCACAATGACAAAACAGAACCCATTATCTGAAAATGGAACTATATGTACCTATATTCAAGTAATCAATATTATTTTCCTTATTATGGAAGAAATATTTAAACGGCAATTTAGCTTAATTTCAAAGCACTGCTTGATAAAGGAGTTTTAAATGATGACCTCTTGGAAAATCTCAATTTGCCTTCATTGATAGATTAGTATTGCAGAAAAATCCCAATCCCAAGTTTCGCAAATGTATTGAAAATGTTCTTTAATGAGATGCAATTACGAGCAACTATGCCAAATGAAGATGTACATAACCATGGTGTACCCCAAGGTGCTGTTCTGGGGCCGCTGTTGATCGTTACTCCCCAGCGAGCACAAACATCCCTGGGATGTTTTGGGATGTTTTGAAAATGTTGGCATGAAGATGTTATTTCGAGACGTAATATGCACTGACCAAAGAGGTCTTTGAAGGATATTGAAGTATTGTTTTTGTTCGTTTGTTTGCCCCACCACAACGTCTCATGCTTACGTCACAATACGATGAATTCTAATTTGTTTTCCATTTTGTTCTTCTTGATCGCACTTGGCATTCGCGTTTGCAGCGTGTCACGCTTACATCACGCTGCTAACGAACAGAAAGGAATTTGGTGAAGTTTATTGTGTTAGAAGACTTATTTAGTTTGTAATAATGACCATCAGATGCAAGACGTGTTGTTCGGTGCCTCAGTGTAATCAATATATTAAAGTACGAATTCATCAATACACAGCTTCTCCGCAGTTTTAAAATTATGCATTGTGGAGAACATTTCAAAAATTGGGAAACCTATTTCCAATTATATGTCTGTGTGTAGTAAGCACTACTCAGAAACCGATTAAGAAGGTAATTTCATATCAAGGAAATATTTTTATGTTCAATCTATTTTTAATGCATTTTTTCATTCAATGGAAATGGAATCTTAATGCAAAAGTTCATTTTGACAAAAGGCTTCAGAAAAGTACCTCGAAAATGGTTTTTTTACAGCGATTTAATGTGCGCAAGACGCGTAGAAAATGTTCAGTTGTGTCCATGAAAAGGCTTCAAAAAGAACTAGGGAGAAGGTAGTTTTGTGACATATCAAGGACATCTCGATAATTGTCGCCTGCGGCGGACATTGGCTGTTCTATAATAGTTCTATTCATGTGTGAACAGAACATCGCAGTGTAGGTTCAATGTCTCGAAATCTCGTACTTTCAACATCTCTGAGATGTTTTTGTGCTCGCTGGGTCATGTACTTGAATAGTTTGAATGAAAATCCGCCATGTATAACAAACAATCTAAATAGCTCGTAGTCAATAATATCATTCTTTATCCTAGAGGTAATTCATATCGCTCTGTATGCTGACCTGGTACACTAGGATTGGCCACCAAAAACTTCTGTATGGCAGTGTCCACCCTGACCTTGACTGCCCTTTCTTCAGGAGCTTCCATGAAACTGAAAAGGGCTGCCCCGCTACACAAATACAAAAGGTAGAGAAACATATACAGGGAGAGCAAGTGGGAAGACTTGAAATTCCCCAAAACGGGCCTGTCCCCATCACCTTCCCTAGGTTTTGGGAGCAACGGCAGCTGCTCCTGATTCCCCTTCTCAACTCGAGAAGCTGAATTATTGTTCACTGTCTCGTAAAGTCTGTATTTATAATCCATCTCTGATAATTCTCCTATATGATTCTATTGCAACGACTATTTTTTTTTTAGTCACTGTTATAAGTATACACTGGGATGAGCGAATGTCTTTTTGCACACGTGTGGGTATACGAAGAATTGCATTGTCCTTTCCTTCATTTTCACTAACCAGGGAGATGCCCGAACACTAGCTTCGAAAAAGTCGGAACCAACCCTGACCGAATGCGGGTGGAATGCCTACTGTCATTAGATACTACTGTGGTAACCAGTAAGTCTAGTTACGGTTTTATTAACCATGTTATCAGCTTATCAGCTACCGAAGAGCATAGGCGTCAGCGCAACAATTTCAAGAGGATCTGCAGTGCTCTACTTTTTTGTTAAACTCATTGTAATTGTAAAAACTTCACAAACTATAAGATTTCCACAAAATTCTCAAACACACGACATGTTTTGCTAACACAGTTGCTTCGTCAGGTGATATACTGTACTGTACGATGAACTAAACCAACATTGGCTTGCTTTAGGATTAGGTTATAAGTCGAGCACAGGTTAAGTGTAAGAATAGCTTCCTAGCTAAACTTCGCCTGATGCACATACCACCTATGCCTCATGTTACTATGTAATATTCTTTTGAGGAAAAAAAGACTTTAATTTATATACCGGGTGTCCCATTTTAATCTTTCTTTGTAAATTTATCGAAATGTATGCATCTGACCAAAAAAATTGCCGAATAAAAGTTGTATGGTTTGAAGGGGGACGTCTGGTTATAAAACAAGTTTCACCCCCTGACCCCCAGGGGAGTGGGAAATTGAGGTAACATTGAAATCTTCAATGGAAACCCCTATTTTTTATTGCAGATTCTGGAAGAGCATCAAAAACTATGAAGCTTTTATTCGAAAACTTCTTTTTTATTTTCACAAGATGGCGCTGCGATCTTAAAAAACAATATTTCACTATTTTGTTTGTAGTTGGGTGACTTTTTATCACTAAAAAGATATCAAGCAGTTCGAATTAACACATTTCAACACCCTGAAGACGAGGAAGAGTGTAGGGCGTAGGGTGTGAAATTCCCAGACAAACGCCGTCAATCCCACCTAAAACCAGCTTTAGTCTTACCTAAATGGTACCTTAATTGCTGAACCATGCTTATTTTCCTCTTTTCTATGTAGAGTTGTCGAGGTGAGTAAGTTCGTTTAGCGTTAATTTGTCGTGTGAATATCACCCCAATGGCGTTTGTCTGGGAAAATATCACACCCTACACTCTTCCTCGTCTTCAGGGTGTTGAAATGTGTAAATAGTGAAATATTGTTTTTTACGATTGCAGCGCCATCTTGTGAAAATAAAAAAGAAGTTTCCGAATAAAAGCTTCATAGTTTTTGATGCTCTTCTAGAATCTGCAATAAAAAATAGGGGTTTCCATTAAAGATTTCAATGTTACCTTCATTTCCCACTCCCCTGGGGGTGAGGGGGTGAAACTTGTTTCATAACCAGACGTCCCCCTCCAAACCAAACAACTTTTATCCGGCAATTTTTTTTGTCAGATGCATATATACATTTCGAGAAATTTATAAATAAAGATTAAAATGGGTATAGGTACATAAACGTGATGATAATAACTCTAAATTAAGTGTATATATAAGTAATATGAGTACTAGTGTGTTATTTCATCATGTATTTCGCTGATGCTCATCCAGAAGTGACTGTTTGAGTTTTTTCTTCAAGGTGGGTAAAGACAAATGTTTCAGATCTTGACTAATAGTTATTATATTAATAAGTAAAGGACCGCTCAAAGAAGGTGGTTCAATGTAAGGGCATTGTCAATTCTTCGATGTTACGGAGATTTATCGTGTGAACCCCACGTCGATGTAGAAATGTTTTCAGGAGGTAGGAAGGCGTTTGCTTTGAGATTAATTTGTAAATGAATATCGCAAAGTGTAGCTCTCTTCTATTATGCATTTTTAGCCATTCAACTTGGTGAATGTAAGGAGACACATGTTCTCTATAATTCAGACCAAAGATAAACCTATATAGTACAGGCGTTTTGAACTTTTTGTATTCGTGCTGAAGTAATTAAATCTATGCATGGACCATAGACTATGTCACAATAATTGAAGATGGACAAGACTAGAGAGTCACACAATATTTTTTTTAGAGGTCTGCCAAGAAAGCGTCTACTAGCATAAAGATTTTTCATTGTTAGATAAGGATCTTAGGACAAGATCCACAGTTGAGTTTGTATGCCCCTGATTTTTCGAATTTAGAAGTTCTGTCTTTATTATTTTTGATGAACCTTCCCAACGTGATATTTTTTCTATATGCTACACGGTTTATTTAGAAATTAAGCTATTTTTTTAGTTGATGATCCGAAATAGGTTAAAGTTCTATAATTTTGTTTATTATTTTTGATGGTGGAATAAACGTGTTGAATAGCTTCATTGTGGAGATTTTCAGAAAGAGTAATATGTCTATCAAATTCACGTTGTATCCGTTGTTGACTGCAATCTGTTTTATGATATTGAGTTCTTAATTGAAATTTACTTCTGAAAGAGGAACATTCACTAGCCTGTGTATATTATATGCTGCAATTTCATGTTGATGAGGGTGTGTTGAATCATTATGAATAGTGATATCACTGTGGGAAGGTTTATGGAAAATTGAAAAATAATGTTTATCATTCATTTTACTCATTGTCAAATCAATTTCTTGATAAACCTTCCCACACTGATATCACTATTACGTAGCAAAACGTTTTCATTTTCAATAGAATACCCTGTATATCAATATATTTTCGAAATGTTTATATATAATTTCGGAAAAAAACGTACACCATGTTCCCATAGTAAATTTCAACCATTTCCGAATTATTTTGTGTAAAATTTTGAGTTTATACTAGCATGTAGCACCTTCAGAATTTCCGAATTTGAAAATTTCAAATCTTCAACAGAGCTAGAGTATACATGATATCTCTGAAGTGAGATTGATAATTTTACCAGAACTTGGTGGTCAAAATATAAAGAATCAGTTGCAGCAGAATTCAATCTTGCATTCAGCTATTCGATAATGTACGAGGCGTTCGATTTGAAGGAAATGACTTTCGGGGCTTTCAGAAACCTCCAAATGACAAAATATTCATGACCACACTGTATAAGTTCCAGAAAAATTCTTGATGTCACTCCAAAAATGATCATGCATGTATACTAGCTCTGGTGAACATTTTGAAGACTAAATTCCGAAAACTTTGTATAGTTGAGAAGTGGTTGTAGTGTCATGATTCAGTACACCCTGTATAGAATATCGAAAGAAATCTCCAATTCATATACGTCACTAGTCAGAATGACAATGAATTTGATCCTATTAGGTAAATCAAATATTCAAAAATCGTTTGTGACGAGAGGATATCCCAAGATGTCCTTTAAATCCATAAAAGATGGTTAAGACCTTGCCCAAAATACTGTATCACGGTGTGAAAATATTCCTGAGATCCCTAAAGAAAAGTATCAGTGAAGAAATCGAGCTGAGCAACCAAGCAGCGAGAATGAGGTACGATCAGAACAAATCGCATGCCATTTCTGAGACTGCAGAGCAGATGACTTTGAACGAAGCAAAATTGGTGCTTCACGTAGACAGATGTTCTCCTGAAGAAATGGAGGAACGTTTTCTACATTTATTCGAGGTTAACAAGAAAGAAAATGGGGGAAGTTTCTATTTGCAATCGAAAGTTGTGAGAGCCAAAGAAAGGATAGAACTTGAGATGAGAAATGGACTAGTTAATGTTACGAATGGATGAAAGAGTCGGATTGTATACTCGTGATACAGAAATATCATATTAAAATTGCATCAAAAATCATAAGTGAACTATAACTCTCTTAACTCAGAGGACGCAGTTAAGGCAGGTTAGGTCGGGTTGATAACTTTATTTGTCTCAGTCGAAAAAAATTGGTGGTGATTTATTGGTATTGCACGAAAATTTAAGGTCGAATTTCTTAGGGAAAAATATGAAGAAAACTAGATAAATATGTGCCCGAAATCGCTCTTGTTGAGATCATTAAAGTGTTAAACGATATCTGAAGAAAGATTCGGCCTATTTTGATGACATTTTTCCGATGTTCTGAATATTCGAGATAATTTTGTTGATTATTCCACATTTTTTATGATTTTCTATCCTCGTCTCTATGGAATAAAAATATGAATGCTATTTCAAAATACGTGTAGTTAGGACAAATCAGATGATTTGCCCCAAAATGTCACTGCAATTAAGGAATTTTCCTATGACAGAGCCTAAAAAAAAAATTCACTAGCTTGTCAGTGACAATTCATATTAAAAAGGTTTGGAGACGAGAAATAAAGGTATATAGAAAAATTATCAAATTTGCAATACAAAACAGCAACAATTCTCGGGGATCCAATAACTTGGTAGATTTCAATGCAAACAAAACAACATAAGCTTTTCAGGAGTAACCATATACCTTTGAAGACTTCCATTTCGATGCTTGGTATTACTATCAGAAATAACGATGCTTGGGGAAATCACGTGAGATCAATTGCTGAAAGTGCATCCCAAAAACTTGGTTGTATGTTTCGGGCCAGGAGCTATTTCACTTCCAGTCAGCTGCTTATGATTTATAAGGCACAAATCCGACCTGTCCTGGAATACTGTTCCCATATTTGGAGTGCAGCACCCAAACATACCTTGAAACTGTTGGATTCTGTCCAAAGAAGGGCAATTCGTCTCGTGGGTGATGCCTCGCTCACAAACTCACTCACTTCTCTGGAACACCGTAGAAAAGTTGGCGATCTGGCTCTATTTTATAGATATTTTCATGGACGATGCTCTTCTGAAATATCAACAATTGTTCCTCCCTTGGCAGTCCCCACGAGATTAACCCGTCGAGTTGAGGCTTCGCACCCCTTCGTGGTCACTTTGGAGACATCCAGAACATCTCTTTCCAAAGACACTTTCATCCAACGAACAACGAGGCTCTGGAACACATTGCCAAGGGAGGTGTTCTCCGAGGCATATAACCTCCAGAAATTTAAGAAGAACACCAATTCCTACCTCATTTCCCTCGGTTCTCACGATGTTCTCTGAACATTACAGGATATTCCTTTGCGTGGGAACCACAACATAAAAAAAATTAAACTCAATGTATAATCCTGTGTAACACAGGCCGAAGGACCTCGGTCGGTGGCCTTATGGGTATCCAATAAAGCTCCTTAATTATTATTATTTATTACTAGAAAACACTCACAGTGACCATAAATGTATGCAACACACATCACACCAACGTTTGCTCCATCATAGAAGGAATAAGACATAATATCGTAAAGTGAATTTGAAAAATGATCTCTCCAAATACAATTCATTTATCAGATATTTTTTTCAATCTCATCACTCGAATTAGATGAAATCACGAGTCCAACATCAGGTTACATCAATCGCTATGTTTGCCAAATGATATTTATTTGTTTTATATACTAGCCTTGATTATTTACACTAGTATTGAATACTCAATGATACTAGGCAGAAAAGAACAAGATTTATTGCCACGGCTGGCGTTTCAGGTGAATAAAAAAACCATCGATACAATTTGAATGGTATTGTTTACACTTCGGATCCACTGGGATGAGTGGGATGGGAATTCATTGGGGAGTCGTTAATCTATGCTGCAATATATCTCAGCAGGAAGACCTTCTTTGTTCTTGATTACAACTTATTGATTGCGTAATCTAATCTGCGTTACTGAAGGGTTACTGTCAGACAAATGTTGAGCAAAATCTAAATCAAACAGTCGATCACATGAGATTTTGACCCCTGGAGGAAGAAACGTTGACCTGGTGTGATCATCTTCCATAAATGGTTGCCATGCTGACTGCAGCAATTATCTCGATTCCGCAATAACGGAATATTTTCCACTATTTGTGTTTCAACGTTTATGTTTATAACAACACGTATAATTATCTATTGATATTTTTACACTGGATCAGACTGATCAATTATAAATTGAGTTTTTTCGATAGTTTGTAATCTTATATCTACAGAGTGTCCCGAAATTACATAGAACGATTTCAACCACAGATTTTGGAAATAATAATAGTAAAAAACATGAGCCCATAAATGCCACCCTGGGGAGTTATAACCATCTGATAGAGGGCCAAACATTATGTTTTTTGTAGATATTTCCAAAACCATTTGTGTTAGATAACAAAATTTCGTACATGTACAGTGTGTCTCACTTCTAATTGAAACGCCCCTGTATCTTACGTTATCGTTGGGTAAAGATCCTGAAATTTGCTGGAGCGAGAGATATACTAAAAATTCACTCTATCACCAAGTAGGGTCATCTCCAGTGATATACACTGCTCGCCAACAGTCAGGGAACCACCCCAATTTCCGGAAAATGATATTTGGAGTCAAAATAGGTTGAAAATCACTTTGGATTCGGAATCAGGACGCCCAATTCACTAACTATTCATAGTTTTCCTAGAAAATTTTCAGTTCAGAAAAATTAAATTTTGTCTCACTTCTCATGGAAGCACCCCCCCGTATCTCACGTAATTATTGAGGTAGGGTTCTGAAATTTGCAGGAGGAAGAGAAAGTCCAAAGATAAAGTCAATTACGTAAGATACGGGGGTGCTTCCGTAAAAAGTGCGACAGAATTCAATTTTTCAGAACTGAAAATTTTCTAGGAAAAATATGAATAGTTAGTGAATTGGGCGTCCTGATTCCGAATCTGAAGTGATTCTCGGCCTATTTTGACTCCTAATATCATTTTCCGGAAATTGGGGTGGTTCCATGGCTGTTGGCGAGCAGTGTATATCACTGAAGATGACCCCACTCGGTCATAGAGTGCATTTCTCGTATATATCTCGCTCCAGCAAATTTCAGGATCTTTACCCAACGGTTACGTAAGATACAGGGGTGTTTCCCTTAGAAGTGGGTCACACTGTATATTACTTTTCATGCCTGATTTGGAAATGGAAGACGGACAACATATGGCAGAGTGGAATAATATTAAAATCATTGGACAAGAAGATAACAACCAGAAGAGAAAAATCAAGGAATCTGCTTGCATTCTTCTGAACGGAGACAATAGCATTGCTTCTTGTTCAGTTGATATAGACAGAACATGGTATTCACTACTAAAATCTGAACATGAGAATGGTAAATTCAAGATTAATTAATGAAAACATCCTGTGAATCATTTGATTGCCAACGTCACCAATTATTGTCAATGAAAACTGAAAAACTCCAAGACATTTATACGACTTCGCTATTGAAATAATCTCTTCTCATGTTGAAAACGGGAGCAGAATCTGTCCCGAAAGGTCAAAAGATAAGTGAAAATTTGATATTTTCTCTATATACCTACCTTTATTTGTCTTCTCCAAACTTTTTTCAATACAAATTGTCACAGACAAGCTGGTGAATTTTTCTTCTAGGCTCTCTGATAGGAAAATTCCTTAAACGCAGTGACATTCTGGGGCAAATCATCTGATTTGTCGTTACTACACGTATATTGAAATAATATTCATATTTTTATTTTATAGAAACGAGGAGGGAAAATCCCAAAAAATTTGGAATAATGAACAAAAAATAATTTCAAAAATATTATTGTAGGTACTCTATTAAGAAAAAGTACTATTTTTATTACACAGGAGACTTTTGAAATCGATTTATCTCGAAAAAGGTGTGGGATATCGGAACTAAACAGGAGTATCATATTTAGGTAAAAATTATGATATTTACATATTTCCTGGTCAAACTGCCGAAAATTGCATAGAAAAAAAGTTAGGTCCTTAGCTCGATCTATATCCCAATACACATGCACGCGAGGAAATAGTATATTGTTCAACAAGTGGAAAAAGTTCTTTTCCCCACATGTTGCACACTATACTTCTTCTACAACTGCACGTATTCAAAGAATCCGAGTAATGTAGCTAATTGGTATTCATTTTATAATGTGGCACTATGCCACATTGAATAACATTGGATATTGTGACCAAAGAGTAGACGCCTTTCCTAGTTTCTCAAAGTATTTCAAAAAAGTACACTCTCCGAAAAAGATTTCATTTCTGTATTTCTTCAGATTCCATGAATTTTTCGTTTATGCCAATTCATACTTTTTTCTTGAAATTTCCGGAAACAAATCCAACTTTCTCAGCTTCTGCCATTATCTCTGTCTCTGGCGGTGTAGTCATCAAAATCGTCACATCTCGGTATATACATCATATTATTTATTATGAATTGTTGGAATAATATTTGATGGAAAATGCGATTTCTATCAAAAGCACTAGGGAGAACTACCCTAAAGAATTTAAAATACTTCTTCTGACAGTTGTGACAACTATTCAAAGCTGAACAGCAGCCAAGTTTTGGTCGATTCTCATTGATTCTCCATGGAAATGTATGTGGTGTTGGCAAAGTGCCGTGAGAAAAAATATTTCTCACAGTATGAGTAATACATGGTTTTGAAACTAAGTAAGCTATGAGAAATGCGCTACTTTTCATACCAATAGTAGAAAAACAATTTGAAGCTGTCAAAGTCGATCGAGTTGTCATAGTGATTGATAATATTACACTAAATGCAGTTATCGAAATTCATTTTCAGTATAGTAACACCACAAATGATTCGAAGTCTGTGAATTCACTTCTGAATGAAACTGAATTACTTTGAGAAAATACCACGAGCGAAAAAACATTTTGGAGCAAGATTTTTGACTTCTAAACTGCTTCCAAATGTCTAGCTTAGCCTCATACTTTGGGGAAGTGAAATTATTCCATAACA